ACACGCACATATACACACACTCACATATGCATACACACACGCACAAACACACACACACACACACATATATATATATAAATATATATATATATATATATATATATATATATAAAATTTAAAATATTAAAATATTAAAAAAATTTAAAATATCAAAATATTTAAACTATTAAAATATTTAAAATATTAAAAAATTTAAAATTAAGCGTCCCTGCATTTTCAGTTTTCTCCATGCAGAATTGTAAACGTCGTTTGCTGTGTTTCGTCCACTCTCCCAACATATATGATTCAATCGCTAAAAGCAATAATTCATTGATGTAGACACGTTTCTTATGGTATTCCCCAATATAATCAGAAGGCTTCAGACCAGGAATATGTGCTCAGAATAAAATATTCTAAATACTCGAAATTATTTTGTGGTCAGTGGTTTGGTTAAATTAGGTACCTCCACGAAATCGCTAAAAAAAGAGCATAGCTTGATGAAAAAGACGCCAAACTTGCCGAAAACTAAATTTTATTGTCTAAATGCTTATGTTATTATTAAGAGGAAAGACCAAAGTTGTTTTTTAATTATTTTTAAAAAATTTTCCTTCTTTTTAGAACATTCTAAATTTTGATTAAAAAAACCTTTTTTCTATTTGTATCAGCGGAACAGACAATTTTTAGCACGTTTTTTTGGTATGACACACATTAATTTGAAAAATCGTGCAAAAATAGAAATAATTATCGGATGTTAATGAAACTTTCAGAAACTATTTACAGATGATCGAAGTTATTATAAATATGTGTTTTTTTATGAAAGTCATGGTAGAAATATTTTTTTTAAAATATTTATTACCCCCCCGATAACTAATTTTATGAAAACGCTAGAAATTCGATCGCATCGGTTTTAGTGATTACAATAATTAAAAGCACAGGGCTTTGAGGAATGCAAATCATGTTTTTTTTTTTTTGTTTTTAATTGGATACGCAGTACCTGAAAAATCAGCTCTGAATTGTAACATACAAAACTCAATAAAACAAATATATTATTTAATTTCAAATGCTTTTATTTGCTTTTAGTTGTTTTTATGAATATGGACAATATTTTCTGAAAGTAAAAAAAAATTTTTCGATGAAAAATGAATTTTTAATACAATTATTTGTTATTTCATTAATTATAATAGATTTTACATTTAAGTTGTTAAAATATTATAAAATTAGTTAAAAGCCGCATCGGCTTTCATAAGTGTCCTTATGAGATAGATCTATTTTTAGCGCGTTGTAAATTGTATCATTTTGACTAATCAGAAGATCCCCAGTAATTAAGAAATGTAATTTTGTGCTTATAATCGAGCTGTAATTATAAAATACGGAAGACCAACCAGAATATAATTAAGTTGCGTTATTTGAGTTAAGCATTGTTCTCCGCTTTTGCGAAACACGTGTGGAGAAGTTAATTTGATTTTTCAATTTCAACTGAGAAGGGTACCTACAAGTATCAGTATCATCTTATGAAATTTATATGATCTTATTTTTATATTAATCTCAGTTACGACATTTTTCCATAAATGAAATATCAAAATTAATAATAAAATGAATGCAAATACAAATAACAGTAGAATGTAATAAATGTACATAAAATTATAGTATTTTATGTACAATTCTGATAAAATTTCATAAGAAAGGTACCTATAAATTAATTAGATACCTTTTCTTAAGAAATATGAAATTTAATGTCACTCTTAACAGTTTTATTTTAATTTCTTTACAATATATTTCCCATAAAGCATCATAAACGTAAAGGTGAAAGCTAAGTACGAAAAAAAAAAAAAAAAAAATTAGACCGCTGAAAGTTTTCGTCAAAAATAACGGGGTAAATAATTTGTTCACGTAAATGTAAATTATTTCACTTTTCTCCTTCCGTAGAACAAATTAGCCTCATGGAATTCGTAAATATATCATTCATCACATGTCAAGAGACGCGAAAGTTTATGACCTGCTTTGTTTTATTTTCAAATTACATCTTTTTTTGGCACAAAAGCTAAGTTAAGTTTGGTTCAAAATATTTTAAATAAACATTATAATTTCTGATTTTCTTAAAATAAGTTTTGAAAAAAATGATAATTGATATTTAAAAATTTCAAATTCAGATTTTCATTTTTTTTTAAAATGGAAAAAAATGGTCAATTTTGCTGACTCAAAAAAAACTAGATTTTTAACGAAAATTTCGGACGTGCTAGGAACGATTAAAAAATGGAAAAAAATACCCCCAAAATACTTTGACCTTTCCTCTTAATAATAACAAACATTTAGACGATAAAATTTTGTTTTCGTCAAGTTTGGCGTCTTTTTCATCATGCTATGCTCTTTTTTTAGCGATCTCGTGGAGGTATCTAGGTTAAATCTCAATTAAAATTCCACGATTTCTGTTCTTTTTCAGCTGGTAACTTATCCATGACTAAGTTCCTCATGTTAATCTAATTTCTGAAAGAGAAAAAAAGGAAAATATATGAAAAATCTAACAAATTCTGATAGTTTTAGTTATCCTGTATAATCATAAAAGGACGGCTAAACTTTCTAAGACACATTATTAGAAAAAATGCATGGTGAATTTAAAACATGATATACTGAATGCAAAAATCAGTACGTGAAAACTAATGTAACCTACTAAACAAGTTTATGTGAATGGATAGCAAAATAAGAACATAGATAGATGGTAAAATGACAAAAGTTATTTACAGCAATTAAAGACAGGAAGCTGAGGAGAGTCATGATGCACATGACTTGAAAGGAAATGCACATGAAAAGACGATCAGTAAGTTCTGTTTTTCCAGCTTCTAAAAGTTGTTGCATAATCTGTTTATATGACATTTGGTGCTATATCTCATAGGTCGGCAATCTACAGCACGCGTACCACACGTGGCACGCAGCCGCTAATGAAAACACGAAGTCCAAACCAATAACTACTACAACGCAAAGAAGATATTTAACTGTTTCAATTTTAATATATACTACATTATATATACTATATAATGACATGTAAAATATATTGTAGAACAGGTATATTGACCTTGCCTTGTATAAAAGTAAGTATGCTGTTAGCAGACTGAATGATTTTTAAACCCTAACTCGGCAGATAGCAAAACAAGTTCGGTAGGATGAATATTATGAGACTGTGTCTTTAGATAATTACATATTGAATAAGTAATTTTTTCTTCATTCGTTCAGTTTGGCAACCAAGTTTAATTTTTGTTTAATCCTTGTTTTAGTTGACGATAACGGCTGAGTGGACAGATAAGAGAACTGTAAATGGTTTGCTTAAGAGCTCATCAGCGTACTCTTTTATTCAGTCAAGTATCGTATTGTGAAGAGACCGGCAAGAGCGCAGGAGTATTTCCATTCATGCTTCTATAAAGGATCTAACGGGAGGATAAACATACAAAGTCTGTTCGAAATACATCCAGTTATTTAATAGACTAAAATTCTGATCTCGTATGCCCTGATTGTTCCGTATCTGAAAGTGACTGCTTACAAAAAATTGTTTCTTTTTAGTTGTCTCATTATAGATTACGCAAAAATATTTGACAAGGTATATCCCAATGATCTATTTGAAATTCTAGGAGAACTAGATTTATTTGGAAAAACTTACACTGGGAATAAAAACATTTGCATATCGATAGAAAAGGAATTGAGTAGCTACACAAAAATAGAAAAGGGTGTGAGAAAAGTATGTGGCTTCTCCCCAGATTTATTCAACGTCTACAGGGACGCTATCCTAAGAGAATTGGGGATCCTACCAGGATTTATTATCGATGGGTGTAATCTTCACAATATAAGATACGCAGATCACACTGTTGATGGCTGATCTGGAAAGCAAAAAAGCAGGACTTCCTGGACAGGCGAGTAGAAGAAAGCGAGAAAAAGGCCTAATCGTCAACAACAAGAAGAGAGAAAGCGAGAGAAAAAAAGTCCAAGATGCGAATTACGAATTGGGGATATCAACATCAAGCAAGAACTGAAATTTACATATCGGGGAAGTGTTTTAACAGGAGATGGAAAATCCGAACACGCACTGGATTAGAAAATAAAAGCATTTCAAAAGCTAAAGAAGATACTAAGAAACAGAAAAAAATAAAAGGATGCAATGGGATATCCATCCTCTTATATGGCAGTGAATGCTGGACAATCTTCTCACAGATGAAGAGAAAACTAGATGTAGCAAAAATGTCATTCTAAAGAAGCATATTGAAAATTCCATGAACGTAGCGAGTAAACAAGGAAGTCTTAAAGAAAATGGCAATAGAAAGAACACTTATACTCAAAATCAGGAGAAGACAGTTGAAATTCCTTGGCCATATAATGTGGTAAGAAGGGCTTGGAAAACTTAACCCTTACGGAGCATATCGAGGGCAAGAGAGATAGAAGGCAGCAGATCACTTAGTTGACGAGCTTGGGTTAATGGATGGCAGAACGAGGGAGACGGAAGCCTTAGCAAAGTGAGAAAAACTACTAAGAAACACAAGACATAGGAAGTTGTGGAGAGCCATGATCACCTAAGTTTTGAAGGGAAGGGGTAAAAAGAATAAGAATAAAACTGCCCAGAGAAACATGTTAAGAGAAATATATTGATTGGGAACAGAAAAAATTAGTCATGTACCCAGAGATTTTTCTTTCGTCGCCTTTTTTTGCTTGTTTTAACAAAAATCCATACCAGTTTTCGTGTAGCTCCATTAAATTGGAAATTATTTTCATTGACTGAGTGATTCCTTTTCTACGGCTTATCAATCCGTTCCAGGTTATTCAAAGCTAGAAAATATTTTTAGATTTTAAGAATTGTTTTAGAGATAATAATAATTTAGTGATACAAGACTTACTAATTAACCCATAGCTGGGGGATGATGAGGTGGTTTTAAGCATTTTCCAAGGGTATTTGCTTGTAATATAACGAATCCAACTGAAATTAAAACTGTTTTCCGATTAACAATGATGTCATTATCTATTACACCATTTACACATCCAAGCTTACAGCACCTGGTATTCCCTAGTAGACAGCCAACTAGGTACAGACCAAGCTCAACGTTGCTTAACTTCCGTGATCTTACAGGAGCGGGTGTTTTAACAGTTTTTGTCCGTAAGCATCTTTTTACGAGGTAATCGAGTGAATATAAGCAAAAATTGTCCATTTAGGTTTAATATAGTTTGGATTGTTTTCTTTTGATAAAATAAAAACATTTTTTAAAGAACTGCTGTCTTGTATTTACAGCCATTTGTTTATTTTCAGATGTAGAAAGGCAGAAATAATTTTGTGTTTCGGACAAAAAATATATTAATCATAATTTTGCACTATACAACATTAATGTAATACCTAGCGTGGACTGAGCACAGGAACAATGGCTTGCGAAATAAGCTAATTTGTAAGAGTTACATGCGAAATTGAAATTAAAAAAGGAAAAACAAAAACAAAATATATTATAGATTCTAGTTGGGTAGACAAGTGTGTAATCTGAGGAATGACGGAGAAAGTATAGGCCAAATGCTACGTTAAAGACAGCAAAAGTGAGGATTCTAAGGAGAAAAATTTAAGGAAGAAAGTCATCTCTATAATTCGGAAAATATCAGAAGAGCTTGAGAAGAAATCATGTAATCTAAACAACTAAGATAAAGATATTAGTCTAGATACCTAATGTGCAATAATAACAATACATTGCCTCACGGTTGAAGTGAACATTTAAAAGGCGAAGAAAGATTCGATCTTCATGAAGTAATTGAAATAGAAATGATTGGGATACCAGTTAGTCGGCATGACGGTGGAATAATAACATTTCGTTTCAGATAATATCAGAAATGCCATTGAATAAATTGGCCCAAATTAAGTGCTAAAAATAACTAAGATAAAGATACTCGTCGGAAATGTTTTCACAATGTTGTTAACCCTGTATAAGGCTCGAGTACAACTCGAGGTAGAGGGTTACAGAGTAAGAGGCACATTTTGTGCGGATATGAGTAGAAGATAACAGTTAATCCTATACTTCAACAGGTTAAAATTGTAGTGATCAAAGAAGCATCCTCTAGGGATTCTGTTCGAGTTAAGAAACTGCTCGAATGGAACGTACGCCTGGAATACAAATGGAATGAGGTTGGTTCGTTACAATGTGCCTGATATGTTGGTTCTTAGTCGTAATGGTTATAATTGTTGGAACTAAGGAGTGTAGTTCGTCTGAGCTCTTTCCATGGAAATAGAGACAGAGCAGCGAGAGGATTGCGAAAGTTTAACATTGAGAAAGAGGTTGTAGAGTGGAATACGCGGAGAAACTTTGGGACTCTATCGAGACTGGAAAACGAAGTCTGGACAGCCCCTTCCCTTTCGTTCTGATCTGTCTCTTGTAAAAAGGGTTGGAGAAGCTGACCGGTACTTCCCTGGAATGGTAAAGGGAACAGGCTATTTTGACATCTGGGTTGAGTATTAGGCGCTCAAAACACGAGGCAACTTTTATTCATCGTGATTGGTGAAAGTTCTAAATTGTAATAAAATAAACACAGTTTTTCTTCGCTATTGTGAAAGAAGCGCAGGCCAATTACTAAGAATTGTTTATAGCAACAAGAAGAACGCGCCTCTTTAACCGGTGCCTCAGTGAGAAGCCAACGTCGTGGAATCAATTTAATTATGATATCAATAGGCAAACAGCGTCGTGCCAGCATCAGCTATAACACGATGGTGATTTAACAACCATTGAATGGAATTACATCTACTTTATTAAGAAGAAGTGGTTAAAAGTCTACTTCTTCGCACTGTGCTCCAGGACTGTTCAACCCAGGAACGCTGGCTTGTATTTAATACGTCACACGGCGATACTGGCCACTGTCCATTGTATTCTGCTGTTGTTGCGAATCGCCCATTCTTAAATTTCACTTTCAAATGTTTCGATTGGGATAAAATCTGATGACCATGGTTGGAAGAGTTTGACCTGGAAAGAGACCAATCGCAAGTGCGTGTAGTTCAGCTAAGAAGAGAGCGTGGAATTAAGTTAGTTAGGAGAAAAGGGGACTGCAGGTCAAAAGGTCAAATGTTTAACCTCATTGATAGTCAGTTTAAAATACATATATTGAAACGAAACTAAAGAATTTTTAAATGAATTTCAAAGACAATATTTAGGGATTGCTAAACATGTTTATTTAACCTCCTATGAACTATTTTGTTTCACTATATTTCGCCATTTGTGAAGTATTTTCATGATTCCACCTTTAATCACTTTTCATTCTTTGTGGCTGATAAACTGGTTTAAAGAGTTTTATCGGCTTCCAGAGAATTGAATTCTTCTCATAAAAATAATTTTGTAGGGATAGAAATAAGTGGTAATCCAAAGGTGCAATGGAAGTTGAATATAACGTGTGTAGTATAGCCAAAGAGGTATTCCAAAAGCTAAGCCGAGTATTAAGAAACAGAAAAAAAATTCGTTAGAAATAACGAAAAGAGTACTGGACCGTTACGTGATATCTGTCCTTCTATGTGGTTGAGTTAGTAGCCATAGTTAACTGAAAATGAATAATAGATCTGTTCAACAAACATAATATAGTTTGGAATAAAAAGAAAAAGCAACAAGGCAAAAATGAAATAATATCAAGCAAACAAGCAAACAATATATGCAAGGCAAATTAACAGGTAAGAATGCAAAAGTTCACAAACTAAGAATTGGTGTCGACACTAAAAAGCAAGGTCTGTCTTCTAGACAAGACAGATATAGATTGCAAATAAGCGTATTTTATTGGCTAAGAAAAATATCCCAGCATGTATTTGTGGACTTATGCCTATAAAACGGGAGGGGAAAATGTTTTGCCGCCATTCTCTATTACGATTGAAATCAACTTAATGCTGGACAATCACCTCGAAGATGAAGATAAGATTTGAAGCAATAGAAATGTGGTTCTACAGGAGGAGGAGGATGAGAATATCATGGATCGAATATGTGAACAACGACGAAGTTTTAGAGAAGGTGGAAACAAAAAGGAAACTTATACATAACCTCAGGAAGAAACAGTTAAATTTTATAAGGCATATAATGAGGAAAGAAAGCTTGGAAATCCTGATACTCACAAGACAGATTGGAGGCAAGAGGGGCAGAGGAAAACATTGCATAACATGTGTAAATAGCTGGCGTATAAATGGATGGCGAAACAGGGTTTCGGAAAAATAACAAAAAAAAAACAAAAATCACTAAGAGCTACAAAGGACAGTAAATTGTGAAGAGCCATGATCACCTACGTTCTGTAGGGACATGATGCATAGAGAAGCACATATATCACAGTTAAGGTGTAATAATTTCTACCGGTTCTGTAAATATATGTGAAGTCTAGCGTTATCTGGATTTAAGACGACATCTTTCTCAATAGCTATTTCAGGACGCGTTTTATCGATTGGTGCTTTTAACCAGTTCAGCTGTAATACGCAATGTCTTTCCAGTCGCAACAAATACACAGCATCACATTCTTCGGAAGAACACTGGCTTTTTGAGTGGTCATCTGTGGCTCATTTTGTTTTCCCCATTACCCTTTTCTTTCCAAATTGTCAACAATCAATTTTCCTCTTACCTTTTTAATCGTCTTTTTAATAAATGGGTCAATATCGGTATTTGAGCAGAGAATCGCAGATCAAAATTATGCATAAACCCTTACGGTGCTCCATGTATTAAAGTGAGTGTTTTCAAATATGTTACAGCGTTTGACATAAGTGAAGTATGTCTGCGATGTCTCGTACTGTTTGAACAGATTTTTTTTTTTAAGTAAAGCTACGATTTGATCATCTTCAACGACCACCGGCCGGTCGGAGCGTTGTCGGTATTCCAGATTAAAAGTTCAATTTATCAACAAAGCGAACCACTTACATACGTTCAGCTATGACACTATTTCCATAAACGGCAAATATGGTTTTGTTGTTCGTACGCCGTGTTTTCCTTTCCGGAAATGAAAGAGCATCAAATGGCGAAAATGCATGTCGTTTTGACTTTTAAAGTAAAAACATTTTAAATTTTAATCCTAAAACTCGTATAGAAATTGTAACATTGCTGTATATAATACTTAAATATGACATAGCATTCAGTCACGTGCGAAGCGAAATCCTGTGTTCAAAGGCCACCTATTGAAAACTGCTCTGAACTTTAGTTACAATCCAATAAAATGCTTGTTACATTTTTTTAAAATATAAAGTATCAACATTGTTTACTTTCCTTTCCTCCGAAGCTGTGATCTAAACAGTAAGATGGTTAACAATTATTAAGACAGAAGAGGACTATTTGAAAAATTAAGTAAAGACATCAACAAAACCGTTTGGATATAATAATCGCAAATGTCGTCATTGAAAAGGAAAGCAAAAATATTTTAACAATTTTTAAGCTTCCTGCCCACAAAAAAACCGTGTGTCAAAACGACAGTTTTTTTTTACCTTGGCACAGCTATTAACTAACTATTAACAACCTTCGCCATTCGGCAATGTTTATTCTTTTAAAAAGCAATGATAAGAATGATAAAACCTAAATACACGATGAAATTTATACATTATTTTAGTTCTTGAGAAATCACAACAAAAATATAGTACACTATTTAGTAAATTGTTTATTTACAAGAATAATTCTATATTTAAAACAATCTATGCACTGCAATGTTTATCAGTTACCAATGTATAAAGAATCGTACTCAAGAAAATGTCTTCTCCAGCAATCTGATCAAATACTCAAATATAGATATCCACTAAAAATAACGTTTGAAGTAATAAAATATGTCGAATGACAAAAATAAAACCACACACACACACACACACACACACACACACACACACACACACACACACACACACACACATATATATATATATTTATTAAGGTTAATTTCAAAAGCTTATCCTGGATTTTATAGAAGAATATTCATTCTGAATTTACATATGTCAGTTAATAAATCTTTGAATTCTGACATAAAATCAGAGAAGGTTACTTAATGGAAAAATAATAAGAGAATAATAGAGGCTACTGACGATGTTAGGTGCTTCAAGTAGCCGAAGGTTCGCCGTTCAGATGCTGAGCGGGGGGCATTATTAGGGACAGATTTGGCTAGAGTTACGTTATCCCTACAT